TTGTTGTCTGTCAGAGTGTCTTTAATTATTTGCAGAGATTGCAATTCTACATCTGTTATTTAGGCAAACAGTCCTGTTTTATTTAGACAAGCCTCCTTTCATGACTAAAGACACAGAGGAAAGATTCTCAAGCTTTTGTTCCAGTGGAACATCTCTTAATATTCATGTGATGGCCAAGAGCAATAAAGATTTTCTGCATCTTTTTTCCTTGTGTGCTGCAGATGCAGATCTGAAACCATTCTGGCAAGTTTCTTATTAGTGGGACCCCATGGCATTTAGTGAGGGTCTAAATAGAAAAATCTTAGGGTTTTTTTCCTCCTTGATTTTGTTTTTATACAAAACACTGTCTATTCTCAGAGCACTACAAGCACGTACAACAAATCACTTGTCCTACATAAACCCTGGCAAATAGACTCCTATCAGGCTGTTACCAAGGAAATAAATTGCAAAACCATTCTGATAGTTCTGATATTCTGATCCAAAGCTTAACAGCACCTGTGGCAACATTTGAACTCACTTGACCATGTTTTGCATCAAAATATAAGGCTGTTGGAACACCAGTGATGTTAATGTCTGTACAGCTGGAGCCATGGGAGCACACTCCTCTAAGTTTCCTGGTAACACAAAGTGTCTTCCTTGACTGGAAAGTAATGCTAGTGAGCAATTGCTTTCCTACTCTGTATTTCTGCTTGAGGAAACAGTGAGTGCTGTCTTACTGTAGCTTTGTTTTTTCCTTGTCTGTGCCTGTTCTCATAATTTCTTTAAGATCTTTAAGCTGAAGAGGTAGCATGGGCAACAGAGGGTCAAGGAAATAAAAAGTTTTTCATGCAGTGTCCATGTTCCTTGACTTAATGTATTGTTTTAAACTGCCCTACAACTGAAAGAGTATACTTGCCATATTTGACCAAAACTTTGATAAATGTCCTTAGTTGTGGTAATTAAAAAAAAACAAAACCAAAACAAACAAACAAACAAAACAAACAAACAAAAAAAAACCCCGCCAAAAAACAACCCTGAAACATGAAAAATAAACCATGAAGCTGTAACACAAGCAAATTGGGTCAAATCAATCTAAGCAAGAACCAGAAGGTCTTTGGAATAATTTGGTAGTAGGGCATTCTGACAAGTTGTTAAATGTTTTAATTCTTCATCTCTCATTACTGCTGATTTTGTTTATATCATCCCTATATGACTGTGACATCAAAATTCTTCAGAAATTTAATATCAAATAATTAGTATTACTGGTACCCCATTTGTTTCAAATGAAGCAAATTTATACCAATTCCCGATTTTCCCTGACACTGCGGTATGTCCAAAAGTGAGATATTTTGTCCTGTATTCCTTCTGTCACATATATTTGTTAACTTCAGGAGAAAGTTAGAGAAACACAGGTTTGAAGGTCAAACTGATATCATGTGGCTTTGCTAAATATAGATGCTTGACGAGTAAAAGAGCTTCACAGGTCTTGGCATATTTGGCTTAGTGCATTTCTACCTCTGCACATATGCAGACAGGCAATTTCTCTGAAGTATCAGAAAGATGAACATTAATTTAAAAAAAAAAAAAATCTAGGCAGGGGTTACAAATGTATCCCTTCTGATTTTCTGAAGGCAGAAGTGAAGCAGGATATGCCTAATCTGCAATATTTTCACTCTCATTTCACAAGTCTGTCACTGATGGATACTCTGAGGAGACGAAGCACAGCATTTTAATATTCTCCTAACCTGTATGCAGCATTGGAAAGAACTTGTTTTTGTTAAAAAAATCCTTCTCCATAAAATGACATTGCAGCGTGTGCAGTATTACACAAGCAGGAAAACATGATTAAACAATAAAAATGTGCTAAGTGTGAATGAAATAGAAGAGGAATCTGTAAAGAGCTCTTTTCACCTATTTTCCCTGTCTAAAAGCAATTTCCATTGACAAAAATGGCTTTGAAAGGAACTGTCTGTGCTTGTACATTTCTTGTTGCAATCCTGTCCTGGGATCCTGGGACCTATAATGCAATATATGCTGTCAGGACTACGACAGTTTACAGATGTGCAGCCAGACTTCTTGCTATTTATAGATGCCTCTTCTGCAAGCAGTACTCTATGGGGTTGTAGCGCAGTAGCAGGCATGTTCTTTGATTTAGTGCTTACATCACATTCATTTAAGAAAATTTGGTTCTTCACCTGGCATGGCAAAGGAGGCATATATACGAAGGTCAAGCAGAGGGAACACTATTGTGAAGAGAAATGTGGATGGAATTCATGAGCGAGCAGGACACCTACTGGGAGGACTAAAAGAAGGAGACATTAGGCAGAGATGTGGAAATAATAAAGAATGGAATGGTCATGTGTTCACAGTAGGTTTTGCTCTTTATTCCCTCTGTGGGGTAACTGGGGAGAAGGTTCAGTGTTGCCCCTGAAAGGGCAAAGCTGTGAAGTTGTTTGGGGTGCAGTGTCCATGGGGTCTGTACATGGCTGTGCTGCATCTTGCTAAAGCATGTGTTAAGTGTTCAGTCAGAGTGCTAGGCACAGTCTATTAATAGAAACAGCGAGTTTGGCACACGCTCGCACTTTCGCCTGTCTCCTTCTCACATGCTCGCAGAAATGCTGGGACTGCACCTGCATCCTTCTGCTTTTCCAGACCTGAGACTTCGCACACTGCTGTATCCCCTGAGAAGTCTCAGTGAGGTCAAGACAGCCCCAGACAAGTAAACAGGGGCTGCTCAACCCCAGTGTTGAGGAAGCAGAAGGTAACGGGTGGGGGAGCGGCGGGAGGGGGTAGATTTCTTGCAGAAAACCTGAGCCCTCGCAGGGTACCCTCCTGGTCCGAGGGCAGTGCAAAGCTATTTTCGGCACTGCCCAGGCCAGCCGGACAGCCCCCACCTCGGGCAGCTTCGCTCTGCTAATATCCAGGATGCTGCAGAGACACGGATGCTCCTAAAGTGGCTCAAAACGATCCCAGCCAAGGCTGCCGGCGGAAAGCACGAGGAGCTGGCCAAGGTGCTGCCGCAAGAGACGGTCCGTCCCTTTCGGCGTGTCCAGCACGCAAATTCCCGCCGGCCGTCCCCCGCTGCCCCCCGAGCCGACACCCCGCGGAGCCTCCGCTCCGCACGGACACACAACTTCCCGGGAAGCGGCCGCGGAGCGCCGGCCCCGGGCAGCCTCCAGCGCCTGGAGGGCTCGGCCCGGGCAAACTTTTGTGCCTACGGGGAACGGAGGGATCCGGGGGGGAGGGAAGTGGGGGGGAGAGGGGGGGCGAATGCAGGAAACCACAGCAGCACGGCAGGCAGGAGCTGGCCGGAGGGGCCGGGAAAGTTGCTCTGCACGTCCTGCTGCTTGTGCCCAGAGATCAGTGCTCGGCTCTGGGGGACCGCGGCGCCGGCTCCGGCTCGCATCCATACTCACCTCGGTGCTGTCGGCAGCGTTCTCCGCCATTTTCCTCCTTAGGAGCAGGCAGCGGGAGGAGTGTTTCATTCCCATAAGAGCTAGCCAAGGGGTTGGGGCTTCGGGGCTGGTGTTTTGGTTTGTGTTTTCAAAGATCTCCAAACACTGGTGTGCGCCAAAGGACAGGGAGATAAAAAAAAAAAAAATATGGAAAACAGCAATAAATCAGTCAGCTTTGTCCTTTCTGCGTCGTCCACAGGAATGTTTGTCTCCTCTTAGCATCGGGAGCTCCTCAGGCACTTTCAAGTCCTCCTCTTTCTCCCCTCTCCTCCACCTCCAGCGAGTTCTTGGGGTGGGCAGAGAGAGGCGGCACACACTCTTCAGGTTAAACTAAAAGGCTGTCGGGCTATGAGTCCTCCCCTTCAGAGAAAGCAGTCAGGCTAAACAGGAGAGAAGCACCAGCTAAGCTGAACTTGGGCGTGCAGTGACCAGCTGGGCATCTTTGTGTCCTGTGGCTACTCTTCCAGAGGCAGAGGGAGCCAGAGACAAAGCAACAGGACAAGGAAATCATAGCCCTTTATTTTCCTTCTTTGGGCTTCTTTCTTTCTCTCTATGTCCCAGGACACTTCCTTTAAAGACGGTCACAGAATTTGCCACCCTCTTTCTATGAATGTCTTCTGAAATAGAAATCCCTTCTCCTCCTCCTTCTCCCTCCCTCCTCCCCTCTCCTTTTCCCTTCCCTCTCCACTTCCCTTCCTTCTCTTCTCCCTTTCCCTCTCCCTACCCCTTCTGCTCTTGGTCAGAGCTTGGTGACCCCCTCACTGGGAATTGCATTCATGTGTCTTTCGTAGGAAAAAAAATAAAAAAAATAAATATAAAATTTCAAGCTCCCCCCACCCGTCGCCTACACCCTCTCACACACAAGCACGCATTCACACTTACGCACACACACGTTGTCTCCCTCTCACACAGACATGCACAATTTTTTTTCTCTTCCCCATCCCTCCTCTTCTTTTGAATCAGCAACACTTTTCTTTGCAAGGACTCTCGGCAAGGCTCTTAGAGAGCAACCGAAGAAGTCTGCTCCAGCTTCTTTCCTCCGAGTTAAGTAGCAAACCTGCTTTCTTAATATATCTTCTGGTGTGTGTGTTCTCCCAGCTCCTGTTTTACTTGAAGTTTTCAGGAGGATCCACGCTCCGTCAGAGAGCCGTGAACTGCAGGATATAGTCCCGATCCGGCTGCAGCTCCTGCTGAAAAGGGGGAGGAGGAGCTGGGGGGAGGAGAGGGGAAGAGGCGGAGGGAGAGGTCTCGCTGGGGAGGGAAGGGAAGAGGCTAAAGGTGATTTGAACTTGTTTTTAGCCTTTTCCTAATGACATCCTTCTCTGTAGGAGTGCATCGCCACCTTCCCCACACGTTTATTTTGCTTTCACTCCTCCGGGCACTTTCTAGTTCTGAGTTGTCAGCTGGGAGGATTGGGTTTACCTCACTCGTGTTGCTGTGGGGAAGGGCGGGAGAGGGGGCGCATTACATAATTAATCCTTCCAACTTCACTTTCCGCAGCTCCATCTCCAGCCCACTGTTCTCACGTTTCTGTTTTGTTTTTATACGGAGGAGGTGAGAAAAGAATGCTGGTGTGTGGGTGTGTGTTGCTCGAAGGATTTCAAGGACCAGAACAGGATTGCTGCTCTCTGAACAGTTTGAAATTATTTCCTCTGGGGGTGCCAATGGAGACCTGAAGAAGAGGTTTGAAAGATTACTTTTGATGCATATTTTAAGGACATAGCCAGCTCAGATTCTTCATCAGTAACAGATTTTGATAGATTTGGGGTTTTGAATTTTTGTCTCTCGCAGCCTATTTTAATACCTTTTGATTAGAGGTTATCCTCAGCTGACCTCTGGAATACTGACATACCATGAAGTACTGCCAAAAACCAGGAGGTCCCTGAGCACACAGGAGGTGGAAATATTCCTGGGGGTGGGGGAATGGAAATAGAGTATATGAATTAGAGAGTAGAGAGCAAAATTATTCTCCTGCCCCATGGGGATGAGGAGGTGGGGCCAAGAAAATTAGAGAGGCGAATTTCTCTTTTTTACTTGAATGACCCTCACAAATTCTTGCTCAGGAACAGATCAGTAGGTATACACTAGATTTCAGAAATTTGTAATAATCAGCAATAAGTAAGAAACCTAGGGAAGCAGAAAGTGTGTGGTATGCTGAAATGTCAAGTGGCAATGAGAATATGCCACATAGGACACAATGGTACCATATAAAGCAGTTTCAGAATATGAGAATGTTTTTTAGACACACGTTCCATACAGACTGAAACTGGACCTCTGTTTCAGTGTCTGTGAGACTTTGCAGAGCCATTTGATCACTCAGTCTTTCAAAAGCTTCTGATTTGCCCCTATTCCTTTCATGTCACATTTATTTTGACACCTCAAGTTCTTTCATTAGCTCCACATCACTGCTAATTTTTTCAGTAATCATCCACACCTCCTGTGTTTGTATAGTAGAATTTAATTTCACACCTTCTAGGCATGAGACTTAAGTAATGACAGAGGTGGAAGTGGTTCATCTGCCCGTTTCTTTGTGACATTCATAGAGCTTTTGAAGGTCTTAAAACCCTTCAAATATGAAAACATCTATAGTCATTGCCAAGTATTCCAAAGCTACTCTCATAATCTCGGGCTATGGGTCTCTTTCTCACCAAATACTTCAATTTCTAGGGGAAGGGGTAAGGGGACAAAATATTCTGCAGATAAAAATGTAATGTTTCTTTATTTTTTTTCACAATGTTTTTCTCTGCTATGGTATGAATATCTGGTGGTTAGTGAGTGCATGAAGTTTTAGTCAGCATACATTTGGACTAACCTGCATAGTTTTAGTGTGTCTTTTCTATATTCAGGTGATACACACAGCTAAACTTAGCCTAATTAAACATTTTAAAATAAACCAGTGTTCTATATAAAAAAAAAGAATTTGATTTTGAAAAACTACTCCAGAACATATTTTCCAGTTTTCTCTGACAGCTGGGTTTGTATTTCTGGTACAGCTCAATCACTCTTTAGTCAGCTAAATGAGGCATCAGATTTTCAAAAGCACTCAGCAACTAGCAAAGTTGGCAGGCAGAGATTTAATATATCCTTCTTTCCTATGCTTCAGATACTGCATGACTTACCCTGGCACCTATTCTTGTCCTCCTCCACCTCTTTGTCAACACAGATGATACCTGACTGCTCATCCTTGAAAGTGGTGCTGATATTTTACACATACTGGGAAAGCCTTCCTGTCTCTTAGTTTCCAGCATAAGCAAGAATGTTTTGGTCCGGAGCTCCTTTGGAAATCTGCCAGATGGTTGGTGTCTTCACTCCATTTATATTCTATATGTGATTGAGGAAACTGCTTTAAAAACATACACAGATTTCTCTAATCTGCTTTATTCCAAAGAGAAAATGACTGGTCATACTGGAACTTTTTTTTTTTTTTTTTTTTTTTAAAATCAGGTAGAATCAGGTAGAAGTTTTTCCTTGTAATAATTTTAAGAGACTCAGAGCAGCTTGTTTACATATACGGATGTCTGTGAGCACTCAAAGACACTTGGCCAGTCCTTCAGTTTGAATATGAGGCTCAGTGCAAGTTCCTGTTGATACTGAAATTCACAGCAACACTGAACTTGAGAAATGTGAGCTTTCATACTGTTTAGGGGACAAATTGTACTCCCATCATAAGAATACAAATCCTGCTGACATCACCCATTACCCAAGGGTGATAACAGGTTATTGGAACTATCATGGGAACATATTTCTGAACCTCTGTTCTGTTAGATCTTGAGGAAAAGAAAACTGTCATGAAGAAAATGTCATGGCAGTAGAAGTGTTTGCAGCAAAGCCAGGAGGTGTCAAAAGCATCTTCTGAGTTTAAATATATCATGTGTAAGTACATGTGAAGGTCACCAAGTATTAGGAATTGAGTACAGTGGTGCTGACGGGAAAGTGGAAAGGGAAGCATTTATTACTTCAGAATTCCAATAATAGCAGCTGTGGTTGAGGCTGCTGTGCTACTTGCTGAGCATGGCAATAACACTGTGCTGGCCCTCAGAAGATTCAGACTTATTGCCAGCTTTGTCATTAGCTTGGATGACACCCAGATATCTGTATTTGAGGTGGGGTAATCCTGTGCATAGGTGCAGACTGAGAAATTGCAGGGCAGCCCTGCTGGAAAGCATCTGGGGCTTTTGGAGTGGAGGTGCGGTAGGTTGGGCATGACTCATCACACACTGCTGCTGCATGAAAGGTGAGCTGTATCATTCATCTCCATCAAATGGAAAGTGGCCAGTGGGGTGAGGGAAGTATGATTCTGTCTCTACTTGGAACTGCTGAGACTACATCATTGATTCTGTGTCCAGAGCTGGGTCCTCTGGTCCAGGAAGGAGGCTGATACATTGCAGATGGCTCAGTGAAAGACTGCTACAATGGTCTCTTAAGAGCTAAGCTCTGAGAAAAACGGTCAAAAACTGCCTTTTTAAGCCAGTAATGTTTTATGCTAGCTTTGAGGATTGTAGCTAAGATGACCCAAACTCCACTTGGTATAGTCAGATCATTTAATAATGGGCAACAGCATGTCATGGCTTTGGAAATTCAGATTAAGTATTAGCCAATTCTTGGACTATAAATCCACTTCCTATTTGGATGGCAAAATATCGGGGCAAAAATATATTCCTATTTCAATATCCTCACCAAATTTTGTTATCTAATCAATTTTGATTTGTTATTGGAAGGATCCTCCTGTAGCATCACTTTGCATTGTTTTTATTGCTCAGGAAGTCACAGTGACTTCCTTTGTCTCACAAGATACCTTTGGCAATTTTTCCAGTCTCTTCATCCACTTTTATCACTACCGTGTCTCTCAAAGTTGCCAGTACTTCCAATATTACTCTTATTCCTGAAACTTGCCTATGTTAATTATGAGAAGAGAATTCTAATTCACACTGCGGATTTAAAGATCTCATTTTATTTATGCTCTTCCTTCCTTGTCCGTTGGTTTTCCTCATTAACTTCCTCCCCACCCCCCGCCCCCCCGCCGAGTCCATAATCTTCTTCTCCTTCTTCATTAACACTGCATATTCCAGCCTTTTCCTGGGAATCATTGCAGTTTTCAACCATTGATGTTAGGTTTGAGTGAGGAAGGGTCTGTCAGTAGCTAAGCTGATCCGAGATACGCACTGCTGCAGGCCAAGAATATGTGTCCAGGGCTCAGACCATTCAGTCTTAAATTATAGACACCTTCTCACAAACAAACCCTTAGTTATACTTACAGATAATGGAACATCCCAGAACTATCTCTGCAAGATATTTTAATTTTTTTTCTAAGACTTTAGACTTCATTTTATTTAAAAGCAGAAGCTCCATTTTGCAGTTGCAAACCTAAAAACTTAATCTAAATGGAACAAAAATGTTTTTTGTTCCACTGAGAGTGCCAAACTCTGAATAAGTTCTAACTGGGTCAGTTGGAAGAAAGTTATATTTTGAAAATTTCTGTAAGGATCACCAAAGTGTGTCTCCAGTCCTCTGTGGATTGGAGGAGCTAAGCAGGTTTTTGAGAACTGTGATTACTACAATGGCAGATAAATGGGCATAGTATCTTGATATGTTTGTTATATACTGACCTTGTTCAGTTCCCACCTAACTTTTTGAGCATTTACAAATCATGTACTCAGAACAGACAGCAAAATACTTCTGAAGTTTGATGACAAAGTTATCTTAAGCTTATGAGGTAACTAAAATTTTTGTTATGCAAAAGTTTTCCCCTGGTAAGAAAAACATATTGGAGTGAAGGAACCACAACAATTACTAAGTAACTGAGGAACTCTCTCATATGAAGATAGGCTCATAGTACTTGATGTGGGAGGGACTAAAAAAGATAAAGACAGACTCATCTCAGTGGTACTCAGCAAAAGGAGAAGAGGAGATGAGCATAAATTGAAAAGAAGGACATGGAAATGTTAAAAATGATCACTTTTTTTACGGTGAAGACATTCAAAGATATTTTGTTGCTTCCTTCCTCAGATGTGTTAAAAAACCTGGCTACAAATGGCCCCAACTGTAGCTGACAGTCCTTGGAGTGGGGGCTGGACTAGATGATTTCCTGATGTCTTTTCTAACTTCAGTGGTCATGAAATTCTGTGTGCTTGTGGAAGAGCCATGAAAATCACTTAGATGTCTCAGATCTGACAAATGGGCATTTATCTTTTTGCTTTCTCTTCTGTATTATTCCTGAAGGCTTGAAAAGAAAAGATTATATATATATAATGTCATACCATGGTGATTTGATATGTGCAGGCAATATTTTCACAGGAAAAATATGCTGAGAGAAGTGACAGACTGTTGCTTGTATTCTATTCTAGAGTTCTCACAGGAGAGAGAAGGTGTGTAATGTTGTTTGAAGAGCTAAATCTCATGAGTCATCTCCCATAAGCTATCAATGGGTGCAGAATATTGTACCCAGGCACACAGCTCATCAGAAAGAAAGTGAAGTAATACTCTTGGAGTCATGCACTCACTGAAAAGAAATGCAAATCACTAGAGTCCATCTTATCCTGTCACTTCTCTTGTGTGATAGCTTTAAGAAACTTTCTTTTCTGAGAAAAATTCCACCTTCTACCTTAAACTGTTTTCTGGAATCTGAGATGGAATTTTATGCTTAAAGACCCATTTCTTTTTCATCTGCTCTGCCTTTCTCTCCTGATGGATTGTAGCCTGATTAACAAGTTTGAGATGAAGAGCAAATAGGTAAAAATGTCACTATTCATTCAAACAAGAAGTTTTCTTGCTTTCTAAATATCAAATCTTACTTATTTCTTTGCTTCTTAGGGTGCCTAAATGTTTGAATTGCTATGTCACATGAGGTTAGAGGAATTAAATTAGACCACAGATGAAGCTGCAATAATTGAAATTACAGCTTTTTTATTTCTTTGCCCAATAGCAGGCATTCTGTCATCTTGGTTTTTGTCGTTTTCTGTTTTTCAGAAAATGGATAAGGCATTTATTTGCCTCCTTCAGTGATACACATAACGCTTTGGGAGCACTCCTGTAAAACATTTTAACTGGAAGATCTATGAAAATAACTTAGATGGCTCTGTCAGGTCTGTCAAATAGCTGTCTGTCTTCTTGCTTTCCCTTCCATAACTGTCTTATACAGTAAGGCATTCTGCTACGTTCCTCACGTTTTCCTGTTGTGAACAATTTTCTTCATGTTCTGCTGTCACTGTTGACAAGCAACCAACGGTAACTATGATAGTGGGCTGGAATTTTTTTCTCCCCAGTTTGGTATTTTCCTTCCTCTTCCAATAAGGAAAATTGCCAAATCCTGCTGCCTCCCACACAAACATGAAAAATAAGAAAGTGTGATCAGTGTTGTGTATTTAATGAGCTGAGAACAATGTATCTATTTTTCCAGAACTGTCTATAACTTGGCTAAAGTGAGGTCATACCTCTTCAGAATGTTGTTTGATGATGTTCCCCAATAAATTAAATAAAATTGGGCTTTGGCCAGGTTATAGCATGGAGTCAGCACTCTGAGGAGCCTAAGATGATGATTTTTCTGGCTGCAAACAGAGCTCATCCTCCTGGATTATTGATGTGGTAGTAGACCTTGGCACTTGATGTGGCTGTGGACTTTCGCAGAATTGGGAGACTCTGCTAATTCGTCTGTGATTGCTGCCAGGGAGAAGATCAACTTATTTATACTACAATCTCCATAATACAGGTTTAATTGTGTGACCTAGGTGTTAATGGTCTCCCTTTTTTCTCTTTTTCAAACTACATAAAATAGAAGGGGTATAATAAAGGAGCCAATACGGAGAATTACATGAACTTTGTATGTGGTATGTTTGTATTTTCTTTCAGGAAAAGAAACAGTACTTAAGTAGTATATAATGTTTTTTCTTGTAGTGTTCAGAAACCTGCTTGATATAATAAAAAGCCTCTGGAATTGCAGATGTTTTGGGCATAATTTATCTAACTAGAGAAATCAGTGTAGCAGAGTTCACAGTTTGGGTGAAACTTGCTTCTGAGAACACTGCTAGTACTTTTAAAGGCAAGGTAAAGGAAAGAGTTCTCTTCCTTAAGGAAGGAGTTTCTTACACCAGTTATTTTTGTTACAGATGTGGCCTAGAGAAGCCCATCAATCTTCAAATCCCATTGTTCCAGGTATTGACCTTCAGATCCTGCTTTGGTAGTTTGCCACAAAATAGAGGCAGCAAAGCAATATTTCCCTGATTCTTGCATTACAGTTTTGCCACAGAGCTCAAGTGAATTACATGAAACATAAAACAAATTCCAGGAGAGCTGGACCAGAGCCAGTTTTCAGGTCTATTTCAGTACCTGACAGGATCTTTCTGTCCATAAACCTAAGAAATGGCATTCTGGAAAAAAAAAAAAGAAATTCAAGCTGCTCGATCAAAACCATACATAATTTAAAATGGAGGATTTAGAAAAAAGAAATTATGCAAAATTAGAACTCTTCTTGTGACTAAGCTAATTTGTGTGATCCATTCCTTTTCATTGGGAACACTATCTTCTTCAGTGTGGAAATAACAATACTGTTATTGTTGTTGGGGTCTAGAAACCCCATCTTATTAAACCCACCTAGAAAATGGATGAGGCATTTATTTTGTCTCCTTCAGTGATACACATAATGCTTTGGGAGCACTCATTTTAACTGGAAAATCTATGAAAATAGCTTAGATGGCTCTGTCAGATGGGTTAGATGGGTTTTCTAGATGGGTTTAACAAGAAGGGTACGCCACTGCAATTCCAAATGAAAATATGCTGATCCTTACTGCAGTATTGGAACCTGCAAGAGGTTTGAAAAAATATGTAATTTCTTAATGACAGAAAAAATATAAGAAAGTGGCATATTCTCTCCCTTGCACCTAATATGTTCTGGAAATACATAAAAATTATGACTTCTAGGTAGTAAATCCGTGTGTGTATAGCTTATAAAGAATTACCAGCTTGGTGAGGAGGAAAAGGGAAATTACAGCAATTTAAACCACAGAAGATTTAAATTATAAGCAAATGTAAGGCATGTTTTTAAAATGGCATATGAAAGGTCATGTTCATTTTGTAGGAGTATGAGCTCAGTACGAATTTGAGCTGTTCTGTCTTTTGATGCCAGGATAAATAAAAAAACTGAACACCAACAATCTTAATCCACAATGAATCCCATAATGGTTCCTGGAAATTATAGTCAAATAGGAGTATAAACCTTGAATAACATTTTTTTGTGAGAAAGCATATTGAAATTACTAATGCCTAAGTTAGAAATACACACATGGCTAGAAGCATTAGATTTTCATCTTGTCTCTATCCCAAAAACTAGATGATTTTATCTTCAAGAGGTGTGATCTATTATATTAATATTTAAGTTAATCTATAATATTACCCTGCATTTTTGGGGTGTGGATGATCAGCTGGCAGGACATGCTTTGTATTGTACATGTTTAGAGATAATATAAAAGTCTCCCTAAGTGCAAAGTATTATTTAAAGGACTTCTTCTATGTGACACAAGAATGGGAGAGACCACCCGGATTGTTATTTCAGGGAGTGGATTAAAACATCATCCAAATAGGTATTCCGATAATATTTTTAATATTATTGTATCATATTACAACGATAATTAGAATATAGTTGCAAACACACATAGACTTCAAATTAAAATTATACTAATAATTTCATGCACTGTAAACCAAAATGTTTCAGTATCCAGTAGAGTCTTAAAATTTACAGTAAGAAAGGACAAAAAGCTCTCAAACTGTGGTTTGCAGGAGAAAGAGAACTAAAAAGATTGACGATATGGTCAAGTCCAGAACATTGTCAAATACATTAGCCTAATCATGGTTATTCCATAGGGATGAGTTTATTTCATATATTTTTATATTAGATATTTTAAAAAATGTTTTGCCTCTCTGCTATATTTAATAGTTATTTTATCTTCAGTACAAATATAGTAGTGAATGACCCAAAACCTCTCGCATCTGAGAATGCCCTGAAAGAAAAGCAACCAGAATTCCCCTTGTGGAAAGAATGAAGGATTTTAAGTTTTAATTGTGATGTAAGATTTGCATTTGATCTATAACTTGGGACTATTGCAGAGGCCTTTGAAAACTATAACATATAATTGTACTAATCAGGATATTCCAACATGGCTTGTACTGTGCTCTCAATCCCACTTGTTCTGACCTCTGAGCCATCAGGTCCATGTGTACTCACAAAAATTTAAAACACAATTGTTAAAGACTAAGAGTTCTGCATATGATTATGATCAGTATAAGAGAAGCACTGAGTGTAGCCAAGAAGCGAATTGCTGATGGATGATTTTAGAAAAAAATCTGTTTTTCTCATTTCAAACTGGAACTTCTCGCCCTGATCTCTCAGTTTTCTAAACATTGCCATGCCAGCAATTCCTTAACTGGTATATAACATCCAGATATACTTATTTGTGACCAGTTGCAGTCACACTGTAGCTGTGTATCCTGCCTGTGCCAATGTGCACACTCAGCACAACCACAAATTCCCTGGGTGGCTGAGGAATTCTGCAGGCTGATCCTGCTGCCCGAGACAACCCATTTGAGATAATGGACTGACATGACATGAGTGGGGGCAACCAAACTCCTAGTTGCCTTCACAAAAAGGTGAGAAACCACAGCAGAAGCTCTCCGAGACAGAATTTCAGCTGGTCCTGGAGGTTTCCTGAGGCAGCTCCTGCTGCTTATAAGCTGATTGATGGCATTATTGTCTCAGAGATGCTCCCAGGTAATTGATGCTGAAGGATTGGCCAAACTGTACATAGATACTTGTAATTAGTCTTTTTCTTGCTCCTGTAGTTACAGAAATGGTCAAACACTTGAGACATCTAGACTAGGTTTGCACATAAGACTCTTTGCCAGCTGTATTATAAGAATTCAGCAGAGAAACAGTTCCGTTATTCTCACTAGACTCAGCTGAAGATGTTTTTACAAAGACACTTGCAACAGAGACTTACAGGGTCGTTGTTCAGATACCAGTTCACCAACCAACCTGTTTGAGAGATTTAATTTCCTATGTGAATATTATCTTATGCAAAAAATGAATTTGTTCTTAAGCAATATATCTTATTCTCTGTGCACCTGTTCTCAGGTATATCACCTCCAATGGAACCTTTAGAGGGAGGAATTGACAAAGGAAGGAATGTGGGGCGCTGAAACCCCATGAGAAACTGGGACTTGTCTCAAAAGCAAACTTTCTTATGGTCCCTATTGAGCTGACATGCCTAGAATAATTAGACTGGTGTTGAAGGCCCAGAATTTGACCTTTGATATGCTGCTGTGGAGTTGTTAGGGATGTAACTTTTATTAGTTAAATTGTAGTTAGACAGGTATTATGGAAACACATGAAAGTGGCAAAAATAACAGAACTTAATTATTCATACTTGCCTGGCAATTGTTATATGATGATCAATGTTGCCCTGCTACATTGATCAGCATATAACACCTCAGAGCAGCCCATCAATAGTAACATTAAGAGTCCAGAATTTGCTCATCCACGTCTGTCTGAAAGGGAGAACTTTACCTTCTGGAATGCCTAACTCTGGATCCGCTCCAGGGATCCCTGGGACCAAACTCATGCAGGCAGAACTTACCCTTAACAGCCTCCTCCAGAGCACTGACAGTCGGCTGCTGTCCTTGTCAACAAGGAAAGGGGAAATAGAAATAACCATGGCTCTGCAATGTTGTAATGTTTTATGCATCAATAACCACTCTTTCACAAAGGCAGTAAGTTCCCAAACTCCTTCATGTGGATACAATTATTCCTTAATAATTAAAGCATGCTTTATTCTGTCCTGATCTAAAGTGCAGCAAAATCCCATGCTCTGTGTTCTGGAGAAAGTGACAAGTTGGGCTTTTCTGTTTTGTTTCTGTAAAATATGAAGACTTTCCGGAGCAGCTCTGTACTGACTATTTAGGGAAGTTCTGTTTTCTGGAAAGGTAAGAAATTGCTTCCATTGAGACTCCTATTTCAACATCACAAGGATCAATTTGACAGTGACACAAGAAGTTATTAAAGGAACACAGTTTTAATCCCCGATCTAGAAATTTGCTGAAGCTGGTAGTTATAGAAGTAATTATTCTCTAATGACCATTTATGTGTACCAGTGTATGAAATTACTTGGTGAGTTCGAGATGCAGCTGAAGACAGCAATTTTCTCAACAGCAAGATCTGTTGCCAGTTGTTGCTTTTTTTTGTTTGCAAACCCACTTGTC